CCCTGGCAGCCTCCCAAAACACCACAGAACCCCTCATGCCCTGGCTCATCTCGGCCATGGATGGTCAGCCCAGCCAAGCGGAGGTCTCTTCGGGGCTGTGCTGGAAGCCAGTGCTTTCCAAATACGTCGAAAACAGAAAGCCAGGGCTGGATGCAGGTTTGCTGAGATCAGGGCTATTCTGGTGCAGACAGGCTGTGTGCTGCTGATAGGGAAGATTAATGAGCCAGGCTGCTCATCTGTTGCAATTAGAAACAACACTATGACTATTTTGGTGCCATTTCTCTGCTGAGCACTCAAAGAGCTTATCAGCCCCGTCTATATCTGCATGTAATCACAGCTTTGTTAAATATAGGAGGGTAGCAGCCATATGTACACACTGCTCTAACCCTGGAACTAAGGTGTGGAGGACTACTTGCTAATGCTCATACAGCACTAGAGAGAAAGAGAGAAAGGGGTTTGGTGAATGGTATTAACAAGCCGTGCCACTTTGTGGCAGCTAAAATTCCTCTAGCATTTTCAGTGCTCATAGGACAGCTGGACACAAGGAGCACCTAATTTGCTCAAGCTGCAAGGAGAAGGCTCTAAGTGTCCGAAGCTGTAGGGAATCACCACATTTATCAGCATAAGAAATGGTTTTGTGACATTAGTAAAGGAAGAGGGATTCTAGCTCCTGGGCTCTGTTCCTCACTCTGACCATGGAGATCCTTCTCATCTGCCCCAGCTGCAGAAAGGGAGAGGCAACACCTGTCTGAAGGATGAAGTCTTGCCTCCTGCTTCCATGTTGTTATTTACAAGTGTGGGTGACACTTCAAGGCAGAGAGGACTTCTAAATAAACCAAATCCTTTCTTTTGTCCAACGTACTATGTTTCATACATCTCCTATGGAGCAGTAAACATTTAATCTGCCTAGATTCCCTGACAAATGTTACATATTTGTGACTGTGCATCAAATCGTCAATATGCTTCAAAATTCAGAGTAGGAAATGGACTCTTCAAACTTTCTGAGATTGTTACTGTTGCTACACACATCAGAGTTCAGCTAAGTCAGCTGGAAAAAACAGCTCACCCAGGGCACTGGAGTTTCCATTGCAGGTACTGTCACAAACCCCAGCCCAAAAAAGCTAAGCCCAGAGGAGTTTCTTCAACAGGATGCACTCCAGCAGGTGAACAGCTGGACACCACACCATGTCCTGATGGTCACCATAGTCCCCACCACTCAAGAGGCACAACTGAAAACTGAGGAGGAAAATAACTCATCAGTGTGCCCCCTCAGTACTCGTCCGCCTCACACTGGAAATGAGTCCCTACAAGCTGCTATCAGTAAGTGCAAAAGTTCTGTCCCAGGTGTAAAAGGTTCCAAGACAGAGCAAAACATTGAGGCACATGCACAACACTGCATCAATACTGGATGCCTTTAAAAGAGCTTCCAAATGGGTGGTAGCAGGGCAAAGCTCGGTTCAGGACAGCCAGACCTTTTTCAGATCTCTGAAAATATGAACAGCTCCTTAGCCACCTGCCAGTATCTCAGTTTTTCACACCAGGATCCTCTTCCATCACCTTAATGGATTTTAACAACCAGCATGCTCTCATTGAAGCTGCTGCCTCTGACTAGACATTTTGTACCTGCACGTGTCCTGGACCAGAGAAAGATTCTACCCAGCAGCCCTCTACACAGAGTCCCTGCATCACAAAAAAACCCTCTCTGCCCAGCCTTATAGCAACTTACTATGCTGCTCTACAATGTGATCTTCTTTAAATGCTCCATTGGTGTCTGCCAGAAGCACAAGTCGATATGAAACTTACAAGTGCCAGACAGCTCCTTCATCTCTCCATGACAAATAAATCTTCAGGATAAATCCATACTCTCCATTGTCACTTCTTATATATAGACAATCAAAGTAACTAAGGTACAGAAGTACGAAGACAAGGCATATGAGTCAAATTATATTTAACCTCTCATTTAGTGATTAATCTAACAGAAAGTTTGTTACATTTTAAATTTTACTCTCTGGTTCACATGAAGGTTTTTTCAAGTTTCTGTTCTGTGCTGAACTCTTCCCCTCCAAGATACAGCCATTCTTATCCTCAGCAATAAACCTTTAGGTTATTTTTCCTTGACAATTAAATGAACCCAGCCCTGAAGCAGGAGCTCACAGGCTCTTGGCTCAGTGTGACAAACTCTCGTCATATCCCTGGAAGATGCTGAACAGACAGGCATCTCACAGGGCAGGATTTAAGCCATACTGGATCCAGACAAATTCAACAGGACCTCAGACAGCTTCCAAGGCCAGGGATTGCATCTCTATATACTGCAGGATACAAGATGGAGTCTACAGACTCCATAAAGATGCAAAGAGCAGGGCAGCTCAGTCACCGAGTCAGCAGTAGGATTCCTGGCTGCTCCTTGGGTAAGTTCTGCTACTGTTCCTCACTCCAGCTCACCTGAGAGGCCTCTCCACCTGGGCAGCACCAACTAGAGATGCTCAGCAGGTGATTGAAATATGCAATTTTGCCATCTCAACAGTGGCCCTTGTTTCTAGTAAGGAGGCACTTGCAAGCTGGAATTGCTCCAGGATGTCTTGGGTTCTGGGTTCCCCGGAATAGAGTTGCTGCCTGATAATAACCAAGTCACACCAGAAGCCCATCAAGATTATTGCAAACATTCATCCTGCTGCAATATGCCTTAAAAATTACTGACTTTAAGTTGCTTTCTTCCAGTCTGAGGAATGACAAGACTGGAAAAGATACAGAAGACAGCTAAAGCAAGACAAGAAAGGAGCCTGCTCCTCCAGCTCATGCTCTACTGGGACAAGGGCCTAGCAGAAGAAGTGGAGACAGCAGAGGCAAGAAACCCCTCAGCAAAAGGAGCTCTGGACTGAGCAGAGAAATTAATACTGCATCCAGCAGTGGGAAGATGATGGGGGCTGGCAGCATTCAGGATCACTCTTGGGAACACAACAGGACCTGAACTCTGTTTCCAGCAGTTGCATACTCACTGGGAAAACAAATGGCTCTGATTAGTGGCTACTGATCTCAGGCTGGCTCAAACCATTTGAAACCTGTTCATCAGTAACACCTCTGTGGTACCTACAGGAACAGCAGACAAACAGGCCACAGGAAAGCAGATACCTGCTAATGAGCCAACCCTCAACTACTAATTATCTCTCTTTGATTCCCTCCTTAGATGATTCGAGACAGAGCAGACTTTATTTTTGTCGTCCCTACTGAATCAGCACCTTCAGTTCCCAGAGGCTTTTTTGTCCTCCCTACTGTACAAGCATCTTTAGTTCCCAGAGACCTTTCTGCTGCTGGTAGTACACATGGCTAAGCAGGACTGGAGGCCAAAACACTCCCCCCATCTGCCTTTTCCCACACTCCTTGTGGCTCCTCAGCTCCTGCCTATACCTTTGAACACACCTCCCTGCAAGGAGTCCTTGGCAGAGCTTGTGACTATAAGGCACGAAAGCACTTCCCACGTTTGCTTCAGCTCAAAACACTCTGAGTCTGTATCTGTCAAGAGGGTAGGGACCTTTCATCTGCCTTTTTCCAAAGGATGCTGGCACATCTGTGAAAGGAAAAGCCATAGGAAGCCTCAGAAAAGCATCTACCAATACAAGAAGGGGGATTCAATTACCCCCAGTGTGATCAAGAAGAATAAAGCATATGAGCTGCTTAGCGTGGAAAATTAAACAATCTCTTGGCTCTGGAAGTCCAACCCTAAAGTCAGGATAGCTTGCAAGATGGATGAATTGAACAGTTCCAGCTTTAACAGAGCTTTATAGCAGGTCTCACACATGGGTGGGTCACCATTTGCAAAGACAAAGTGAATTCCCAACCAGAAGCAGCACTTGCTCACAACTTGTCCGCCTTGCTTTGCAAGATGGATCTCAGGGAGCTACTCACAGGACCTCGGCAATATTCTCAGAAACAAGAACTCAGGGGAGAAATGGAAAATGAGTTATGAAGGAATCAATTTTACAGGACTGTGCCTATTTTAACACACCTCGAGAAGAGCACAATGCTGATGCTGAGTAGGGAAAAGCACATCTTGTTATCACTGACACCCATGTGTGAATAAAAGGCTACCGAGTGACTTTCCCCTTTTTTTTTTTTTAACCATGCCTCATCTTGGAGTGGCTGAGGGGAGTGTCACAGCCAGCTGCAAGAGCAGAGGATGGGTGATCAAGCCTCAGTTCTGTCCTTAAAGTCATAAATAACTTCCTGGTGTTCCTATGCCACAGCAGTACACAGACATACCCATTTAAATGCTATCACAATTCTGGCCCCCATCCCTTCAGCCTTGCTCCCTCCCAGAAATGAGGGAAGATCTTTTCTGGGTAGGAGCATGTAGTACTCAGGCAGGGGCTTTCTACTGACACACAGGCACATATTTGCAGTACATTATACTGGGTAGCAGAAAAGGATCCAAAATGTGCACACAGGCAGGACTCCTCAAACCTTCATCAAATTTCTCCTGCCTTTAGCATAAAGATGCTACGTGATCATTTACTAGCTTCAGTAAATTCTGCCTTAAGAAAAAAAACAGCATTACCCTCCAGCCTGTTCCCTAGTGAAGCAGTTCTCAGGCTGCCATTTCCCAGCACTGTCATCAGTGGGACATAACCCTGCATAGGTTCTCTCCAAGGAATGGTCTCCATGAAGGAGGGGTTTGATCAGCCCACCTCCACTATCAACAAACCCACAGCAAACTCTACTCACTCACAGCCTTACACTGCCCTGCCCCATCATTTCCAAGACCATCACAATGGAGAATAAAATCAGGCATTGCTCCTGACAGTGACAAGAACAGGCTGGCAGGGTTCCTGCACCAGAAACTTCAGTTCCACACCCATGCATGGAGCAGCAACAGGCAAACACATCCTCTGAGGTAAACACATGCGGACTGAGGCAAACACAGAATCCTCTGCTGCCAGGAACTCACTCAGGGCTGCAAGAGCTACTCATTGGCTCAAATAAGAATTAAACACACCAGTACTTACATGGCTGTAAACTTCATCCTAATGCACTCAGCATGCAGTGGCCGAGGCTGAACCAGAGAGAGGATGCTGTGAGTCGTGTTGGTGCAGCACAACCTTCCTCCCTGCCAAGGTGTTCAAACAGAAACAAGAAAAGCAGTAACATGGAAGATCAACTTTGAATCAAGTCTTCCTTCCCTTCACACTGAGTCCCAAGTATGCAGCTTGCATACCTTTAGTAAATAACATATGTTTGTGGCCACAAACAGGCTGCAAGGACCAATTTTGCAGCCAGCCCCCAGCCCTGCTGTTGCTTTTGGTTCTCTGATAAGAAAGGTTTTCTAACCTCCTCCCTCCTACCTAAAAAGGGGCACCTACAGCTCATGGAGAACAGCTGGAAGAGTTTGGGCCCAAACATGAGGAAAGGAATGAGGGAGGGAAGCAGAGCAGCTTTGCTAAGGGACCTCCTTCCTTCCCAAAGCACAAAGGCTCCCAACCAGCAAATGGCACTCTCTCTGTCCCTTAGCTCTAGGAGCAGTCACAGTCCAAGAAATTTTGCTTCCTGGGCAACTCTCACTGTCAAGGGTGCTTTGAACAAAAGGACCAATAATAACCATAGAAAAGAAAAATAAATAAAATTCAACTCCAGTACAAAAATAATTTAATAAAGGGTAAGTTTCAAGAAAATATCTATATAGTAACAACATTTTAAGTAAAATGTCCACAAAAATATACATGTCTAATGTGATTACACATTAAGTTTTCCAACAGGTCCTGTTTTATACTTGGTTCAGTCCATGTAGGTTTTCATCTAGGAAAAGCCTTCACTGCTATCAGCCTTCCTGAGACAGTTCAGTTTGCATAACAGAATCATATGAGCAATGTTTTCTAACTCATTTTAGGCTTATACAAATAAACTTTAGAGGTGGTAACAGTCCAGAACAGATCAGGTCATACCAGATAGTTTTAAAAAAAAGTGAATACAAACAAGGAAAGTGAAAGTCAGCTGTCCAAGGGACACTGTCAGGCAGAAATATCAGCCCTACAATACACACCACACAATACTGACACAGCTGGAAAAGGAGGTGCATGAAGGGAAGAAGGGCAAGAGGGAGGGGAAAATCCCAGGAGGATGATTCCTAGGAATTGTGGAACTGCTAAACAAGGGGGTATAGAGAGGCCAGGAAAAAGCACATGTGACCAACACATGTCTAAAAACTGGACAATTTTGTAACATCGAAGATAAGCTAACTAGAGGAATATGAAAAGGAATCAGTGGAGATTGTTTATTTCTTATTTTTCCAAATGGCTACTGAGCTGTAGAAATACCAGGTCTGTTCCAAAAAACCCTCACCAATACTGCTAATTCAGTCAAACCAGAAAGGAAAATCTGGTTACAGAGAGATGGAAGAGTACAGTAGAAAGTAAAGAAAACATGTTCCACCAGCAGAGGACAGGAACGCAACGCTAAAGGAGACATGCCAAACAAGAGAGATCAATGTTGTCAATGGGAGAGGTACAATGCCACAAAAAAACCACAAAAAACTGAAGGGAACAACACAAAAACCCTATCCCATAGAAAGAAAATGGAAAATGGCTAAAGAAATAAAAGGACACACACTTTCCAAAAGATTTTTTGTTTTATAATCGAATTTCTTTTACATAGACAACTGAAACACACCAATATTTTGTGTGAAAAATATTTTTAAATAAATTTTGCTTGTTCTAGATTTTTGTACATTCTGATATACATATGTAACAAGGTTTATAGCACTGTAACTAGGATCAAAATCATATAAAGGATCAAAATAATTGCTCTCATTTATCCTTTCTGAACCAAGCTGGCTGCTGTTGCACTATTAGACTTTAAAAACTATTATGTTATTATTAGTGGGCAGCCAACTCTTAATTGGTTTGAACACTCAAAACAAGCTCCAAATTATTATTGCACAAGAAGCCAGTGAAGGCATATGGCATAGAATGATCGAAGTCCCTTACTGTTAAAACCTAACACCCCAAACTAGAAAAATAGAACTGGAACATGAAACACACCAAATAAACTTTGTTTTCTTCTTTAGTTTGAGGCTGGAGTGTGAAAAGTGCCTTGCAGACTTTTAAGCTGCTCTGATTTTCTTTGCGTCGGTGAGCATTTTGCTAGGTTCTCTTTAGCAAGCCTTTGCAGAACAAAGGCCCTTCTGTTTCAGGGAGGTTTTTTCTGCTTTGTTTTGGCTATTTGTGTTTCATCTTCAACTGAAGTTTCTTCAGTCTATGAACCTGCACAGACTACTTAGCCATAAACTCTACAAGTAGCCAGAGAGGAGGGAAAAATAAAAATTAAAAGAAAAAAAGCCCAACATTTCTTCTTATTGTTTTTATTTTAAAAAGTACTCCTTTTGCCCTGAAGCCTCCCTGCTCTGCCAGTGTCTGAGAAGGAAATCACAACAGCATCCCAAACCCAGCAAAGTTCTTGGATCTTTTAAAAACCTTTCCTTACAAAAAAAGGTTTTATTCACGAAAAGTTTGCCACAAAACTCCCCTTTGAAAGCTAAAAGAAAACCCCACAACCCACCCATCACTGCCCCAAATCAGGTGAAGAACAGGTTCTGCCCCCTCACAGCGTGGCCGTCACACAACAGTCTCGACACCGATCAGCTTTGGTGTGAGGATTCGCGGGGTGACTCCATTGTTCAGATCTTCTTCGAACTCCAGTAACTGCCCCATAAAGTTAAGGTTGGGGGAAATGATTGGTCGTTTTCCTTTGACAAATTTATACGCATCCGTCATGGTCATGCGCGTGTGCTTCATTAGGTATGCGATAACAATGGTGGCAGATCGGGAGACGCCGGCCTGGCAGTGGATGAGGAGACCTTTTCCACACTGATGAGCTTCCTCTGCAAACAAGACAGATGATAGAAGAAAGTAAGATTTCTGCCAGTTTGTAAATTAGAACTAAAAAGCTTAGAATTAAAAAGCTCAGTGCAATTAAGAGTAACTTAATGTGAAAAGCCCCTTGATTTGATTACAAGCACAGCTCTTCCCCTTCCCCTCCAGCACATCTTCCCCCAAGGTTTCAGAGCTACTGAATGTGAAACCCCCTGTCCAGTCTGACACTGAAAATCCTCACATCCACTCTCTGCCCTTTATTAGTAGAACCATGCTAGAGAGATGCTGCTTCACTGCCAGAGAGCATTTTGTGAGGAGGGCAACGTCCATGATGAGGAATCTCAGGCTCCATTTCCACCTCAGTTGCAATGCCACTGCATTATGTCAGCATCTCAACCTCCCTGTTTTTCAGAGCAGGGAACCACTTCTAGAAACCAGGTATTTTCAGATTCAATTAATAACAATACACGTATTTCAACGCCCTGTCCTGTGAAGCTTTACAAAGATACTCTTGAAATGAGCTTCAGTGGGTGTCTCTGCTGTGGTGCCCCTTCAAAAGGAGGAGCTGGATACACACACACCCCCACTCCACCACGATTCATCACTTAGAGGGAGGCACCCTGGGCAGCATTTAGGGGGGAAGGAGTCCTTCTAACCACATGCTATTAGGACATGAGAGAGGACAGTTGCTATCATACCATCCTCATCTGCCAACGGCTTGCTATTAAAACAGGAGATGGAACTTTCAGGAAGTAACATTTCAAACTACTTCTTTTATTTCAATCTGCAGGAGGAACGTGAATTTAGTTTGCAGGTTTTGGCACGAATCCAACCCCACCAAGAGTACAGCTCAATCCACCCTACACATTCAACCTGTACTGTGAAAGCATAAATAAAGCCAATTTCCCTCTAGACATTTTTGCCAGTTAGTATTTCAGAAAGCTGAAACTCTCTAATGCATGTTGACACACATTCCCAGAGAGTTTCTGATGATTTCACTTCCTATGGCTTTAGTCTTAGCCAAACCTGGGGTTGGTTGTGGTTTTTTGAAGACATATTTAAAGAAGCATATGCCAACAATCCGCTGTTTAAACATTTCCAAATCTTCTCAAATGCAAATTAAAGTTTACCCTGAGGAAGGGAAAGCTTTGACCAGCTACTTCCCCAGCTGGTTAATTTGAGACGGAAGAAAAACTCTCAATAGAAAAATACTTGTTTATTAAAACAAAGACAGACCCTCAAGCTGTAATTATTAAAAAGGAAGTTAAATGGGTTTTGAAATGCTTTCTAAACCTTTCCGGAGCAAAACTGCTTTCTCTGCTCTTGGTAAGGTCACAAGCCAAACACTATCTTTCAGTTTTGAGAACTCATACTGCAAATCATGGGGATGAGGGGAGCAGAAATCTCTCTCTTCAACCTGAAAAGGACCTCAATGGAGTTTCACAGTCTCTTTACCTAAACTTAGCCTATTGCATCTCTCCATCTTGTTGAACTCAAAGTTTAAGGTTTTACTGGATTTCTTGATACAGCTATTTTCCCAGAGGATGAAAGCAAGGTTTCCTTTCCTCTGCCCTTCACCCAAACAAGTGTTCACATTCCCAGGTGCACAGTAACCAGCAGCTTGGGGAACTGACAGCACTACTGGTACTGCTGGGACTGGGTTAGGAACTCAAGAGAAAATTTGAGTTAGAGATGCTTTGGTCCTTCACACTGTAGAAGACAAGCCAAAGGCTCAGAGTGGTAAAAGTCACCTGAACTGCAGCATAAGCAGTGTTTTCTCTGTTCACTTCACTAAAGCAGTGTGGCTGCAGAGCACAGGCATCAGCACACCGCAGCCCCCTGCCAAGACACAGCCAGGCAAGGCTGAGGAGCCATCTGCTTCTGAGCTGCCAGACCTGCCCCACACATAGCAGGGGCAGATGGACTCACAGCAACCTGCTGAGCCTGCGCCTCCTGCCCTGGCACCTGGTCCCACAGCTGGGGTCAAATCCTTGCCAAGCCTGAGTGTACCTGAGTGCAGAGACAGCACAAAGGAGGGCAGAGAGGAACACGACTCTACACCCCGCCCCAGTACGGGGTCAGTCAAGGACCTATGCTGCAGTGCACACACAAGGACACTTCTTCCTTTGTCTAGTACTCCTCCATCAAGCCTGAAGTACTGGTAAAGGAATTAGCTCAGTCTCATCACAAGAAAATAGAATTTTATGTCAATGGTATATTTGGCATATTTCAGAAAACCTCTCAGGACACATACTTGTGCTAGGGAAGCACCTTTACTACGCCACAAAAGCAGTGTGCACAAAAACATCTAGAGGAGCGTGGAAAGGTCCTCAAAAGCTTTCATACTACATGCTGAAGTCCTCTCTGACCAGCCCTGCTTGAAGTGGCCACCTGGCTTTAGCCTAGCTGAGCATGGCCCCAAACTTGGTTGAGGGCTGTGCCTTGTTGATTGTAATGAGGTGCAGAACACTGCTGGGTCACTTCTTCAGCAATCTCCACGACAAGCTCTGTGTCTGTGGTGAACTCTCTCACACAGCCTACAGGGTATAGAGGCTTATTAATGCAAGTTTTCATCACTATCCACTCAACCACACATATACTCTGAAGCTACAAATCTAATGGTGGAACAAGCCAAGTGTGAAAGTTTGTCAGTTTTCTCATTAAGTTAGGAAAGACTGAGAGACCTTTAAGAATAGTCACTATGAAAAACTGGCTCAAAGTCACTGTGTGAAAACTAGGAATGCAAAGGAATCAAAAAAGAGGGGATGATGAATGTCTCAGTTTTGTGGGGTTTCCTGAATTCAGAAGCCTGAAGGTAGGCGTTACTATCATTAGATAAAAATTGTAACCTTGGGCTACTCAACCAGATGTGCCAGAGATGAGAAAGAACAGAAATATGAGGTGCTCAGCATTTCTGACAACCCAAACTAAAGGAAATATGGCCTTAACCAGCCTTCAGAGTTGTTGGCAAAGCATAAAGTTCACTCTAAATTGTTATAACAGGTAAAAATAATAATAAAAAAATAAACAGGACTATTTCCAGACAAGGGTAATTACCAATGAATTCAAAAGCCTCTTCAAAATACTGCCTGAGATTCTGCTTGTTGCTGTCAGTGGCCGGGAGCCGCTTGTAGTTGAACATGCCTTTCTCGTAATGGTACAGGGGCAGGTGAGTGGTCACATTGATGACATAGCCGATGTTCATCCTCTGCATTTTCTCAAAGTCCTGAGCATCATGTTCATTTCCGAGGAAGAGGAAGGGCAGGATGGGAGTGAGCTCAGCGTTCTCAATGTCTGGCGTGGTAGGGATGGACTGAGGTAGCACGGGGGGCACAGCGGAGGCACCGCCCCCTCCTCCCCCCTCGGGGCACTCTTGCAGCTGGAGAGAGTTGTCGCAGAGGTTTTCATGGTTCTGCTTGAAACCACTGAGTCCTCCTGGGAAGAGAGACCAAGCAGACATTTTGGTTAGATATCCCAAGATTTCTTCAGAGCACACAGTGGGGCCACAAGGGCTGGAGCTGGCTCTACTGTCCCCACCACCACTGTAGCAGTGTCACTGGGCTGCCAACAGCAAGGGTAGCATGAATCAGCAGCAGGCATTGTCCTCCCTCTGCATGGTGGATGGTGCCAAGGAACAACAGGGCTCACAGACAAACATGCCTCTGTGCAACATCAGCCTGCTGAGGCTGTCTCATCTACCAGCCCATGCGGCAAGGAAGGTGTTCCAAGAAAGAAAATATCACGAAAACTAAGGGGCCAAGGGGCTATCAGCACACTAGAGCAGAGCAGCAAGCCAGATGGGACAGTCTTAGCTTTACCTGCCCTTTAGTAGTCCTGCAGGGCATCCCCCCACCCAGGATCTCTGAGGAGGATGGGAGGAGCTCACCCTGGCATCGCTCCAGGGAACAGCATGCATCCATCTGTGTGCCCAAACAAAAGAAAACCACTCCTTGTAACCTAAAAGCGACTGAGGTGCTGGCTTAACATGTGGCAAACAGCTCTCCTTTTGCTGTCCCGGCCACCTGAATATATCTAGCAAGAGTTATTTTTAGGACATTAAAATGGATTGAGAAATGGATCTGAGGGGGGAGGAGAAGTCAGTTTTTCAGTGAAGGAAGCTCATGCCTTCTCTGCTCTATTGCTGGCTTTTTCAATAACCATTTCCCTCCCCTTACTTTCTTTTTTTTTTCTGAGGAATGCGGCAGGGCGGCTTCGAAGAGCTGGAGCAAGCAAAGTGGACCTTCTTTCTACACCTCATTCTGCACTGACATCAGTGGCAGGCTCCCCACCTGCCCAGTTTCCATGGCGATCCCATAAAGCACACAAAGACATCAGCTGGTATGACATCAGCTCTTTGAGTGCAAACAATACAAGAACCACTACTTTGTGTGAGGCCTTTGGTAGGAGGCAGCAGCGTTCCTGGGAGCTGCTGATGTAATGCTAACAGGTGGCTCCTCTGAAAGAAAAAGGCAGAAAGAGGAGAAATGCAGGGATGCGTTCCTCCCAACCTCACACACGTCGCTGCTGTACTGGGATACTTGAAGTCATGCTCAGCATCGAGAGGAGCCAAGTGCTCAGGCTCAATTGCACTTTGTTAACTGCAAGCCAAAAAAAACCCAGAAGAGGGGAGAGCAACTCTGAAGTTACTAGAAAGAGCCACGCTAGCCAAAATAAATGCGGAATGTCACCCTCCCAATAATGTTATTTAAAAAGAAAAAAAAATAAAAGAGAGGCTATTTCCATCCTTTCCATGCTCTTTCACAGTGAACCAGTGAAGGTGTTAAAGTGAAGTAAAATATGCTGCCTCTCGGGCTCTGGATCAAACACTACTGTCGAGGGCTGCAATTCAAATGTCCAATTCAAGTGCCTGTGACATGCCTAAGGTGGGACTCACCCACGCCCATTTCAGTGCCCTATGCTATATTCCAAGGGCACGAGGTACCAGACCAGTTACAACCATCTGAGCCCCTGTAATGAAAGTGCCCTTTTCCACATCCAAACTTGTGTCCTTCACACACTGCTAGTAACATAATTTCCCTGAAATCCTTGAAATGCCTACAAAATGCAGAATATTTCCCCTGCCTCAAAAATGTGCTTGTCTTCAAGTATTTCTGCTGTTTACAGGACACAGAGCAAACAGATTTGCCTTAAAGATCTCTATTCTCAAAGTTGTAACAAGGGATCAGGATAGAAAGAAGAGCAAGGACAAAAATTTGAGCTCAACTGCACCACCTGGCCTCAACAGGCTTGAAAAGTCTTCTCAGTCCACTCAAGAAAACAAACAGGATGATGGCCCCCAAGCTGAAGATGTTTGAAGTCTCATCTAAACCAACAGCCCCAGTGTGTAGTCTAGGCTAAAGGCTAAACCCTAACCCACATTCCCATCTTTCTGAATGCGCAAGCAATCCATTCAGCTTGAATATTGTTTTTTAAACAATAGCCCCAGCATGTTGGGATTCCCAAGAAAACCCCTGAAAAAGTTTTTTTAGTGACCCCAGAGGCAACACACATTTTCCACCTGTCCTGCTGACTTCTGGGAATAAGCAGCCCCAGTTGGAGGTAGGACCCCACTGGTTCATCACTCAGGTGGGACACATGGATGGTGTAGCAGACACCACCTTGCTTCACCAGCTGCCTTCTAAGACACAGCAGAATATCAGGGCAAAGGATGGGAAAGGACCCCAAATACAACATGCAGAAGATGCCCCAACAAGTGGAGTAGCCAGACATGTAATACCTTAATTCACAATTTTTTACAGGCATTTGCCAGTGTCACCATTCCTAAAGTCAGTTCGCATCCCCCACACTCCTTGCTTATCTCCTCATGTGAGAGGAGAGTTAAAAAGTCAGTTCAAACAATATTTAAAGCAACTCTCAGAGCAAATGTTTCTGAAAGAACACATTACTGGGGAGAGGATCACTAACCTGAACTGGCTCAGACACATCAGCAAAGGAGGACGGGACAAGAACACTGGTACCCAGGAAAAGATGCAGCAAGATGCAGTCATGGCAGGAAGCTTAAACCAAATACAACAGCAGGAGCTTAGCTTGAATTTGTGCTGCCATATGAGTCATGCAGGTCCCAAAGAAGGACCCAGACACCTCCTGAGTGCTGCTCCTTTCTCAACACACTCGATCCTTGCACAAACTGATTTATGAGGCACTAGAGTAATTTAAGTGAGCTCAAGCATACATAATACTCAGGCTTTTCATAAGTTTGAGACTACCTCCAAAAACGGGTCCAAGCAAAGTTAATAATGATCAGTCAGAAAGAGAGGGATGGATTTTCCACATGAAAGTAAGCACAACGTACAAAGTATTCAAATGCATCTGTATTCCATTGGCAAGAAGCTGCTATTTCAGTTCATTTCAAGTCTTCATTTAGGAAGGCTAGAAAAGGTGGGAGAAAAGAAGCTGTACCCACACCAGAGGCCAACACAAAGCTCTTGCAAGCCTGGTCTGAGAATTGATTCATTAAACTCAGTAAGGTGCAAGACACCACTGCTACTGACCACAACTCCACATCCAAGAAAGCTCAAGGCATGGATGCAGAGACACCACTTGGGGTTGTAACAAAAGCTGTTTTGTGGCTGACCCTGCCCAAGCCTTTCCAAACCTGGGGAATGAAGGAAGCATTACAGAGGGCAGTAACACACCTCTGGCCAAGAAACACAACTTAGCAGAAGCTCCTTGCTAGCACAAAAGAAGCATTTTAAAAGCAGCTTTTCAGATGCTGTTTGCAGTATGGGAAAAGCCTTCATCATATAGAGACAATCTAAGTAGAGAGGTAACATATATCCACCAAGAAAGCCCATGGAAATGCATGGCAGTGCTGCTGGAACCACACCCATGGAGTCTGGACTCAGGAGTGTAGCCACCTTCAGTGACAAACCAAAATGCCAGCAGGCAGATGATAAGCCACTGATGGATGTCCACTTCAACAGACTGTTCTGCCAGCAGCCCATCTCTCCTGGCTTTAAACACTCCACAGAGCTTGTAATGACCAAAGCATGGAGAAGTATGCCCAGCCAGTGGGATGCAGCCTGTGCATGGGCATGGACAACATCCCAAGTGCCTTCGCTCTGTTCCAGAACGGCTGCTGGACAGGTGTTCAGAGGGCTGAACCTACCCAAACCCAAAGAGAGATGGACATACAAGGACACTCAGCACGCTGGGGAACCCAAGGTATTTCTTCCATGAGGAAATCAGGGAAGCAGATCTCTTGCTAGCAGATGGCCTTGTGTGGTATTTAGCAGAATACAACAGAACACCAAGGGCTCTTTGCTCACCACTGATGCAACACCCAGGTTGCAGAACCATTCTTGCAGTTGTAATTGTATGACATTTTCCAACATCCTGCCCTGCCAGAACAGTTAGTAAGTGACAACAGACTTTGGAGTGTCTGAGACCTCAGACTTTTGGGGAAGCTTTAAGTCAGCACCGTACATGCTCCAGCTACTCCCACTCATTTTTTCCAATTCTCTGCAGCCATCTGCCCATAAACATCTCACTTAATGCTTCTCAAACTCCCCCACCAGGCAGCACCCAAGCAGCAGCTGCACACAGATTTTCCAGCTCCAAAGCCACCCAGGAGCCCAGGGCTCACACCAGCACTGCAAGACCAGGTGAGCAGCTGAACAGCAGCCAAAGCAGCTCTGAACAAATAAAAAAATACAAGAAGCATGGTTCTGGCATAAAAGTCATGCTTAACAGTGTCCATCATTTGCCATCAGAAGAGGGCAAATACAATGCAAAGCAAGCACAAAAGGTACAGCAAGAATGAGGCAGCCAGCTTTTTACAAGAGACTATGGCCTTAAAATAGCATCATCTTCAAAGAAATCTAGAGAAACAAACCTTACCTGCACAAATTTATAAAAGTGGAATGGCTGGTTGGGGATTTGTTTGTTTGAAGGGATTTTTTTGTTTGTTTCTACCATTGCAGCTTTTTAGTTTAGGGTTTTTGTTGTTTGTTGTTCAAAAATATTGAGAATTTAAGTACAAGGAGTACAGTAACATCTGGCCTCCTCCTCTGTCTCTCCTTCAGCCACCACTGCTGCTCTCCGGCTGCATGACTACATGCAAACTAGGATCTGGGTCCACAATATGCTTTGGCACATTTGCAATACGTTTCCTATCTGGAAACAGGCTCTTGCCCCATAGTTAAGGGAGTAAATGACCTTGGTTCCCTCTCCTGTGGCAGAGCTCAGAGAGAGGCAGCTACAGTCAAATACCCTCACCACAAAGCAACACCTTTGCATTACCTCATTGGTGTGGATATACTTTGTTCTGAGCGTGGCAGGTACTGGGTGTTCCCGCTCCCACTGCAAACAGGAACATATTTTTATACATGACAGACTGCAGATGTGGGAAGTCACATTTAGACTAAGCACGTGGTCTTAGGAGACAACCAGACCTTTTATATGGTTTTCAAAGC